TGGAATTTTCCTCACTGCATTGGAGCTATTGATGGAAAACATATTGAACTTCAGGTATTATTAAAAAAATAAAATAAATAACAAGCAATAGAGTAAATAAAACATTATTAGATTTGTTTTATTGCATGTTGTTTCAGACGTAAGTTTCTATGATACATTACAGTAAGGTAAAAGAAATGATATATTAATTTATTTGTTTATTTATTCATTTATTTATTATTATTATATTATTATTATATTATTGGGCATGACTAATACTCTTATACACATCGTACGAGTGATTAAATATAAACATAAGATTAATGAAAAAATTTATGTCTTTCTCAGCAGTGGCATTTGTATTTGGTTCATCTGTTTCATTTTTATTCATTGCAGGTGGATCAGGTATATCGAAAAGTGTTGGTATGGCGTTTGATTTTAATTTTCGCCAATTATCTGCTCGACCAGTCTCAAACTGTGATTCTTCAAAATGTTTCTGAAATAAAAAAACTGTTTATAAGATAAATGTTCTTATTGATTACAGTTATTCATATTTATGTAATTTCAAACAGTGACAAATCTAAACTATACTTAAAAATAGGGTTGCACCGGATAGTGATTTTACCGGATAGCCGGATATAGGATAAACGTATACTCTCGCGACCGGATACCGCATAATCCGGCTGGACACTATTTTTTCGGATAAACCGGATATTATCCGGCAGAAACATTCCAATATTTAATAAATGGAGTTAATTATCAATTAAATAAAGAAAACAAAATATTATTATTTACTTTAAAATAATATTTTATTGTCAATTCTCTTGATTGTTAAACAGTTATTAAAAATAATAATTAAATATTTAAATTTTTTATTATAAAAATTAGCATTTCTGCATTGTCTGGATGTAATTTATTTCGATTATCTGTGTAAACGTTCCCTGCGGAACTAAATAGTCTTTCTGAATTTACTGAAGAAGGTGGAGCACTTAAATATTTCAAAACAAGATTTTTAAATTTGGAAATTCACAATGATGTTTTCCAC